TTTGAAACAAAAATAAATCAGAATTTACACCCAAACCATTTTGTTTTGGATTTTACTTCATTCTCTTTAGGGTTTTATTTTATTTCATTTGTAAAATTTGTAACAAAAACTTGCAAATGAATGCACCGCAACCAAACGCAACCCTAAATTTGATCAATCTATATATATATCAACCCTTCCATGTCTCACAAAGATGGGTATAATTCTCTGTTGATCCAAAAATGGAAAGAGAGAGTGATGTAGAAACATGAGTTGGACCAAGGACAATTGTCATGTGGAGGGGCTAAGTTCCAAACACTGGTAGATGTGATTTGGTCAGGTAAGTATCTTTGGATGATTGGTATTCCTTTGCTGGCCAACCCCCCCTTTTCTCTTCACATAATCACATGGTCTCTTCACATCTTAGGTGATATGAGAATCAAAGAATATGAGGGTGAATAAAAACAATTGAATGTTTTAATCACAAGTACAAGGTCAACAGATTTCGCCGACATTTTGTTTGCAAGCTTTCCATGACTTTGGGATTCTGAAATCAACATGTGGATGTGACTTGGAAGGTAGCTACAGTAATGGCTGAGACCAACATGGCAACATACAGATGTTAGCATATTTGACAACTTCAATATTAATTTCATCTGGAATAAAATATTATTTTATATATATATATACATATATATATTTTTTTATTTTCTCTTTTTTTTAGGGGTTAGGGGCCGGGTGGTGGATCTCCCAGTGGGGTTGTGGGGTGTGGAGAGAGGGGACAGTTTTCAGAGGCCAAGTCTGATGTTTTTGGATTGTTATTTTGACAATGATTCTGTTTTTTTGTTGAGGGTTAAGCTTTTGGGTTCGATTATAATATTGAAAAGACATGATATTGGAAAAACTTATAATCAATCAATTGATTCTTAAAAAAAATGACGAATGGGAGGGTATTCATCAAAATTCACGGGTGTTTTATTAGTCAAAGGTCTTCCGGTACCATGTCTTTTCTATGTCATATTGTAATTTACTTTCCTCTTAATTTTAATGTGGACCATCCTTTGATGACAAAACTTTGCTGTTTAAATTTGATAGCCTGGGTTATCAACAAAGCTCTCTCAGAACGATACGCTAATTCATATAAGCTCCTTGTATCTGCTCCTCACATGGGATGCCTTATATGACCATGCATTGGGAATATCTCCCGTATTTGTAAGCTATTTTTCACGGGAGATGTTCTCAATGCATGGTGAATGTGAAGCGCCCAAGTGTGAGAAGCAGATCCCATTCCCCTTGTAACAGTATCAGTGGTGGATTCGTTTTTTGGATAAACTATTAACATGTCATATAGGACAGTAGGAAGAGTACCAAAAAACTTTGGCACTTAGCCAACAGCCTATGCTGTTAAGAACATTCTTGAGAATGCCACGTTACCATGAGAGGGGTAAAATAATAATTGCCCCTATTTCCTTTTTCCTTTTGAGCAAACAGAAAGACATGTGGATGAAGGCATCCAGCACATAAATGCTCCCAACAGCATAGGCTGTTGACCCCCAACAGCCAAAGTTATCCTGAAAGAGTGTTGAACTGTTGACAGCGCCCTAATTAACTATCTAATGTGGACAGCCAAAGTTTTTGTCGTCATAGCTATCTAACCATGGAATTTCATCAAAATTCATGGGATGGTTTCGATTGGCTGAACTCTAAAATGTGAGAAGTGGTCCCATGATTTTGATGAATTTTCATTGGCTAGTGTATGTATTAGAATGCGTTTAGTGTAGGAGATCTAGGGCTGGGTTAATTAATTTGTATGAGAAAACATTCTTGCAGACAACCAAAATATAAACCCAACAGACAGCAATTCATGAGCTTTGTTCACAGTAAATAGATTTGATTTAATTTAATTTTTTAGCAATTAATCTTTGAAACTTCTTATTGGGTTGGCTTAAATTTTTACCTGTGAGGCATTACTCAACCTTCTTTATGAAAAATATCTCTTTTTGGACTTTGGAAGGTTATGATGAAAGCAATAACCTTTTGATTTTTGAATATATATATACACACACATACACACACATTTGACACTTTGGTTTGACAATTCATAATAAGGGAGAGATTAAGGAGGATGTCATTCATAGAATTAGAGCAAGAGTATCAAATTGGAGTGATAAATTATATAAAACAATATAAAATCCATCTTTGTTGTATGAAGTAGTTTAGTAAAGTATTAAGTAATCAAGAAACAGCATATCTAGAAAATGAGTGTGCCAGATTAAGATGAAACTAAAATAAAGTCATTTTAGAAACTTAGGAGTAGTTCTAATAGGTGATAAAATGAAAGAAAGTAGATTACGATGATTTGATCATGTGCGTAGAAGACCATTAATAGTGTTCATAAAGAAGTGATTTGCAACAAATTGAACGGACAGAAGGGCAAGGGGTAAATCGAACAAGGGATGGGTAGAAGTTGTAAAAAATGACTCTAAGTGCTAATAATTTAACAATAAATATGGCATTGAATAGAATGAATTAGCTGAACAAGATTCATGTAGCTAGCCAGTCCTATATAGTTGGGATGAGACTTAGATGATGATGATATATTCCTTATATTTTTCTTTTTCAAATGGCAACATTGTTAATTGGCTTTATTAATTTGGGTAAACTTTTGCTTTAGAGCTTTGGGCTGTGAAAAAGAAAATTGAATGAAAAAAGTGTTTTGTTAGTAAAAGCTGCTTTCAAAAGCATAATTATCTGAAGCCAAAACACTTTTAAACCTTAAAACACTAGGGCTTTAAAAGCACATATTCTGAAGCTTATCCAAATGTAGCCTTCGCTTGTTTTTGGATAAGCTTTAGGATCTATGTTTTAAAGCACCAAAGCACAAAACCTCAACTTTAGGTTTTGTGTTTAGGAGCTTAAAAGAGTTTTTAGTTTAGTGATGTTTGGCATCGATGCCGATTTTTCTTTATCGATTTTTCAAAAACTAGTGAATTTTGTCATTTGGCATTAGTAAGCTGATTTTTGAGAAATCAACATATTATTTTTGCATTGAAGTTATCATTCAATACCATGTTGGATGCCATGTCATCCTCAAAAAATAGGAATTAACTGGAAAATAGGGATTCACTGAAAATGGTACGTGATCCTTGAAAACGGATTGATTTCAAGAATCGATTTTTGGCTGATTTTCCAAAAATCACCAAACTCAACCAACCAAACAGAAATTTCAACACCAATTTCTCTAGCATTAAAGTAGCTCCGACATGACAGTGATTTTCAGGAAATTAACATCAATGACAAACATCCCTTTTATGTTTAGATTACACTTAATATATATATATATATAACACTTACCAAAAGCTTAACACACACTTTTCGTCACATTTTGTTTACCACAACCCAAAGTTCAAAAGGTAGAAGCCTATTTAAATATATCCTTAGTTTCAACATTTCATAACTTCTTACATTACAATTTCAGTAATCATTACTTTTAAACTGTTTTAAAAGAACATAAAATTTTCCTCTTTTAGTAAACCCAAATATAAATATAAATTTGGATTTGCTGCAGCATTTGCTATACATGGTTATTTGCTGCTACAAAGATATTAATTAGATACAAATCAAACACCACTCTATAACAAACAAACAAGGGATATATATATATATATATATATAAATTAATTTTATCCCACCAACATTCTACATATACATATATGAGGGTAACTATATAAATAATCCTATTTTATTGGCTCCTCTTAAATCATCCTTACTATTTCAATTTATGTCCTTTTCTTTATGGTGTGTTGCTAATTCATTCAGCCTAGGGATGGCAATTTCGTGGGAATTTTTTGGGTATCTGACCTTAATAGGATCCATTTATCAAAAGCCTATAGGGTTTGGGATTTTAGATTAAAATCCTATAGGGTTTGGGACGGATTTAGGTTTTGACTTTAGGTATCTGATACTCGATACCTGGGATGCATAAATATGAACCTATTATATTATATATCATACACAAATTTATAAATTTTAAGTACTAGGATAATTATTTTATTATTAATATTTTATTTGTATAAATTTCTTGGGACTGAAATCATCATTTGATGTAAATATTGTTTATTTCTTTTAGTTATAAAATGTTAATTTTAAATATTATTTATTTTAATTTTTAGTGGAATTATTAATCATATACATGTATTAATTGTTTTGATGAACTCAAAAGTTAATAAAATCTATTTTATTTTATCAAATAAAACAAAAGATGAGATGATTTAGTAGCTTAAAATAGTATTAAGAGATTTAAGCTATCATTAATTGATCCATGGATTTAACTGGTGGGACGGGTCGAAATGAATTTAATGAATTTAGGACAGATTTGGAATGAGGGATATAGGCGAGTTTGGGAATGATAGGGCAATTTGCACGGGTACCCTGTTGCCATTCCACTTCAGCCAGTGGGATAGACAAATGGGGAGCTACTGTTTTATTACTAAAATGCCCTGCACCAGTTCCCGTGTGTGGACAAATAGGGCGTGTCACGTCATGATGTTTGTTGCAGCAAATCTGAGCTTGTTTTCATTTAGTGTCGTTTTGCATTGCTTGAGAGACACAAGTACACAATATAAATAAAGGCAGGTGAATGATTATAGAGATTCGATGAATCGTTTATGAAAATAATTGATCTTTCTCTCTTTTTGTATTTTCATGTACATCAGGGGTACGCATTTTGCTTGTCCCCATGCTAAAACAAAGGAGCTATGGATATTGCCAAGATTACACTAGTAAATAAGCTCATCTCTCTCTGTCTTTCTCTCTCTTTCCCATTGATGGGTTGGTATCTACCACAGAGTAAATATTAACTACCGCCTGCATTCCTTGTCACCATATCAAGTTTGGTGCCATTGAGGAATCAAAACCCAACCATATATTCTCTTACATATAAGAACAGCTGTGGTTGGATGTGCATATGGCGGTAGTGTGGGTAGCTAACTCATTCAAGCAGGATATATAGCTAGGTACTGTTTGAACTCCCTTCATGTCTCCCTCCCCTTGAAAATTAATCTCTCTCAAGCTGCTGCTGCTGCTTCTTCTTCTTCTTCTTTTTCTTCTTCTTTCTCTCTCTTCTAAACAGAGAATATGAACACCCACATAGAGAATCAAGTTCTTATAAGGGAATTCAATGAAGATATGGATACTGAAGTGGTGGAGAGGCTTGAGAGGAACTGTGATTTTGGATCTAGAGAAGGGATCTCCATATTCACTAATATGATGGGTGATCCGTTGTGTAGGATAAGGCTCTACCCAACTCATGTTATGATGGTAGGAGGCGGGTGATTCCCTTTCCATATATCTATCATCTCTTCCTAATAAAGTCTTAGCATCTACAGTAGTAGTAGTAGTTTTTTTTTCTCCCATCCAATTGAAATTCATTCTCTCTCAGGCTTTGTCTCCCTCTTCACCTTTACTACTTTTCTATAAACAGATCTTCTTGTCCTCTAGACTAGGGAACATACACAGATGTTTAGATATTATTATACTATTGATTAACATGTTTGGAAGTGGGATAACAGGTAGCTGAGCTTGTTGCCAACGGGAAGCTTGTCGGAGTCGTTCGAGGATGCATGAAGCATGTAGGGACTGGCTTTGGGGAAAAACATGTCAAGATGGGTTACATCCTGGGCCTTCGTGTATCTCGTAAGCACAGGTTAGTTCCATTAATTAATTCCCCCTCTCCCCCTTTCTATTTCCATAAACAAATTCACTTTTTTTTTTTTTTTTTTTGGTGGATGTGTTGAGTCTTGAGTGGCTCTCAGCTAGCTAGGGCTCAGTCTTGGAATAATTAAAGGGATATATCAGAAACAATACTAGCTACATGATAAAAAACATTAGTATATATCGTTGATTTGATGGACAGAAGATAAATCAAGTATATATGAACCAAATTTAAGAGGGGCTAAATTGGAATCAAGAGGAGTCTCATTGGTTGTTATTGATGATGATGATGATTTTCTTCTTCATTTTCTCCTTTACCACCATCACCACCACCACCTCCTCCTCCTCCCCCTCTCTTCCCCATTCATTTAAGTTTTCTCCATGGAACTGTAATCATCATGTTCAGCAACTTGGTATCAAAAAAGAGAGCACCGATCAACTAATGGGTGGGGTATTGATATTATTTTCTAAGTCATATGTCTTAGAAAATAATATTGTTCTTGTTCTTGTTTACTCTAATGCAGGCGCATGGGAATAGGGTTGAAGCTGGTGAAATCGATTGAGGGTTGGGCTATAACAAATGGAGCACAGTACATCTGGGTGGCCACAGAAGAGGACAACGTTGCAGCGACGAACCTCTTTGTTCTGAAATGCAATTACGTGAAACTAAGCTCGCTTGTCATACTGGTTCAACCAATAAGCTCTCATGTTAAGGATTCCCCTGGGGATGTCACAATAGAGAAGTTGAGCATAGATCAGGCGATCTCCTTGTACAAAGACCGACTGGGAAGCAAAGGTTTCTACCCAGTAGACATGGATGCAATCCTGAAAGAAAAGCGGAGCCTCGGCACATGGGTGTCGTTCTTCAACGAGGAGGACTGGGTTGGTTTACGTAGCAAAGAAAGCAGTGAGGACTTCACCAGTAGAACTCCGAGCTCCTGGGCCATTCTCAGCATTTGGAACACTTCTGAGGCTTATAAGCTTCAAATAAGGAGGCCATATCCATTCAGGTGTCTCCACGCCACTCTCAGCCAAGCGAGAGCCAAAGTTTTCCCTTGCCTTCGGATATCATTCTGTGATCTGCTCCACAAACCTTTTGGCTTTCTCTTCCTTTACGGGATTCATGGTGAGGGGGAGAGACTCGGGGAGCTTATGAAATCTCTGTGGTGCTTTGCTTCTAATATGGCTGGAAGTATGAAGGATTGCAAAGTGATTATTACAGAGCTGGGGAACTGCGATACTCTCGTTGGCCATGTCCCCAGAGGGGCCTCTATGTCATCCATTAACGATGTTTGGTACCTAAAGAGAGTGAATGATCCCAGCGAAGAAGACGACCAGTGGACGACAACACAACCTTCTGGGCATTTGTTCGTTGATCCAAGAGACTTCTAGCTAGTGTTGGATCGATGATATGAGCCAGCTGCTACCCTAGCTAATTAAAGCTTGGTATTATTATGTATTAACATTGTTTCAGAGGATGAGTTTAGCTCGTATGCTTCAGTTCAGTCACCTTATCCTGGCTACTGTAAACCCATGTTTCTAGCTAATAAATTCATCAGGTGATGAGAGAGATTGGGATTATCTTACTGCTAGCTTTTCCAAGTTTTTTTTTCTTCTGTTTTGAATCTTAACGTGTCCATAGAAGCCTACACCTCCACCAGGCCAACTTCTTTTTCTTTTTTTCTTTTTTGCTTTGCTCTGAACGCAATAAGAGTTGCGATCAAATCCATGTTCCTTGCTCGCTCAGGGAAGCAACTTTCTGAAAACTCCCCTTGGAAAACCACTCAACCAGAAGCTAGCTAGCTTACATTGCTGGAAAAGCTTGTTGGGTTGTCTCTTTCAGTTCAGTATATCTTTGAAATCTTTCGACTACGTACCGGGTTCTTCACATTATATTGGTCTGGACTCTGGAATGAGGGCTTTCCCAGTTCCCCCAGACACTATCTTCCTGTGTTTGCAGAATCGTGGTAAATCCACCATTATCATCCCTCGGTAGTTGAGCTAATGAAAAGTTAGTGGAGGAGAAGAGAATTGCCTTAGACCAAATAAACATAAAGTTGAGAGGGGAAAATAAGGCCTTGTTTCTTTCATTGCTCAGGGCTTCATTCTTTTAATTCTTGTTCATTCTAGTGACAAAATTCTTTTCGGAATTCTTGTCCGGCCTCATTCTTTCGGAATGAAAAATCAGCTCATAGCATAAATTTTAAGATAGCCTGCAACATGAAAAATAATATTACCCCTATCTTGATTATTTTCATTCTTTACAGAAATTCTATGCCAGTAGTGGCTTAGGTCTACAAAACTGCTACCATATTAACTGATTGCTGTGGAAACTTACACCGACATTGACAATCGGCTATCCACCCGTAAATATTTTATACCAACGGTTTTTGAGAATTAGGCCAATGGTTTATGCTTGCTAAAATAAAGTTTTTTGAAAAATGAAAATGAGCAACATAGGGCACTTGTCTGTCTGAAAAGAATTAACTTCTTAGGAAAAGTGTTTGATTTATAACAATATTTTCTCATTTTGCCCATTTTTACTCATTCTTGTTCGTTTTACAATTTCATCTTGGGTGAGAATGAGAAAACCAAACATGGCCTAAGGAGAGCAAACTTGCATTCCAAATTTCCAATTGCTTGTGGCAATTGCAGTAGCATTGTAATGCAGACTTAAGTGAGCCCAACCTGAGCCCAGACCGACCCCGTCTGAAATTTTTTGCGAATTGGGCTTAGATTTTTGATTCTCAGGCTGGGTTCAAGCCCAAAATTTCAGGTTTTTCTTTTTCAAGCTAGGCCTAGGCTAGTCCTTAGGTAGCCTAAACCCGGCCCGACTTTGTTCCATACATACACACACATGCATACATATTTGCACATATGTATACATACATATATAATTTTAGATTGGGTTTATTGACCAACCCGACCTTGGCCTGGGCCCAAGTCCAAGCCCAACCCAGTAGTGTGTTGAAATACAATATGGATTAGGCCCAGATTGAGAAGATCAGGCTTAATCTCGGGCTCAGTCCAGATTCAGGCCTTAGGCCCAAATCTTAGGGTTGAGCTTAAGTTGACCATAAACCCCAACCCTTGAGTTGACTATAAACCCAACCCAGTCCACCCATCTTGCACCCCTAAAAAGGTGTTATCATTTGAATTGCATAAAGAAAAATTCGATTACAAATCCATTTCCTGACCCAAGGATAGCCAAAGAAAATGGGTGTTTCACTAACTCTGGTACGTATGTGACAAATATGCTATTCACATGTTAATGAATGCTTAAGTTGCAATAATATATATATATATATATATAGGCTGACATCTTTTATAGTGGAGCCCATGAATTTATTACTGATATGGAACCTCATCTTGGTTCCATGGCATGTTGAACAGCCATCATGTTTCAGCTAATCCAAATTCTCAGCAGGCACCCAATATATCTTTTGATAGATGTATTAGAAATCAAAGGTAGGCGGAGGTATTTTATGGGAAAGTGGCACATAAATTTGTTTAAATTATACTCATCTTGAGTGCCTACCTGATCCAAAATTCTCCAAAAACAAGTGTTTTTAATTCATGATTGAACTGGTTGATCTGACCGTTGTCCCATCTCCTGGTCATAATTTTGATTTGGGTTAATCCAAACCTATCATTACTAAAAAAATTATTGACTTGGTTATCAATAATTGGTTGAAACATGAGTCTCGATCTAACGGGCACAGCATTGTAATTTGTAAGCACGTTAAATGAACAGTTAATAATATTATGACAATTGTATAAAAAAAAGGGGATAACCTTGGGTATTTTAAGGGACTAGTAATTAAGTACATGCGTTGTATGTGAGAAAATTTTCTTCATATTAATTACTTGAATTTTAGATATATTATAGTTAAAACAGAAATTGAAAATTAACAAAAGTAACAATATGATTAAAAATAAACTTAAAGATTTTTTATTTAATCATGACATCATGGGTTTCTTAAAAAAGTTGGATCATTGACCCACCATCTAGATAAAAAAAAAAAATAGCATTGCTTTTGGATTAGTTTTAAGTTAGGGAAAATTATAGACAAAGTTGATTGTACATTTAAAATTAGGCTACAAATTGGTCCATAAACCAACATAACTCTAACAACCGGATCTATATTTCAAATTATAAAAACCCCCGTCATGTCATTGGAGGCATATGTGGCTGTTGTCAACATGAGACTCTTAATCCATGTTGGATACAATAAAAAATTTATACTGAAATTGCTCTTTAATGTTGGGTGATTGGAAAATTAAAAAAATGGTTTTTAGTTCCTCTCTCTCTCTCTCTCTCTTAATCTCCCTCACACCATCTCATTCACAGTCATCTTTATCTGCTCAACGATTATGTGATTTGCAAATAAATAAAAATGATTTTTGGTTTTTGTATTTACGTTCTCTATATCAATTTCTCTCATTCTCATTCTCTCTCTACCTATCGTTCTCTCTCATTCTCTTTCTTGGTCAATCTCTCATTCTCCTTCAATTTCTCTCCCGCTCTCTCTCTTGTTTGTTTTATTTTCTTATACACTTATACCAATTAATCAAGTTGTATAAAAGAACATGAGACCAACTTGGTATATGATTAAAAAATTATTACACCAATTTGATAAAAAATCGCAAGAAACTCTTAGCTATGAAATTTATAACAACTGAAGAACAATAAAGATTGAGGGAGAATGAGATATTGATCGAGAGGGAAAGTGAGGGAGAAGAATGAAAAAGATTGAGGGAGAACAAGAGAGAGAGAGAGAGAGGTTTTGATTTGGCCACAAACCGAAGCTGAGAGAGTGGGAGAGACAAAGGAAGTAGGAAATTAAGAGATGACTGTGAGAGTGAGAGAAAAGGGAGGGAGATTGAGAGACAAAAGGAGTGGGATAAAAACTGAAAACCTATTTTTGGTGTAGGTTATTTGCTATGTCCAACATGGATTAAAAGCCCTATGTTGGGAACAAACCACATATGCCTTTGATAACATGGTGGGGGTTTTATAATTTGAAATGTAGAGCCAGTTGTCAGAGTTTTGTTGGTTTTTGGACCAACTTGCAGCCTAATTTTAAATGTACAATCAATTTTGTCTATAATTTTCCCTTTAAATTATATATTTCATTTACATTATATAAAATATTTTTTACTTTTCGTACTTAATTTTTGTTTGGCTATGGTATCATTTGACTCGAACCATTAACCCGCCATCTAAAAATAAAAATTGTTTGATTTCTAGGTTGACATTAAATTTTGTATTACATTTCCGTCATTGATAAAATTATTTCTTATGTATAAAACTTATTTTTGTTTAATATAATGAATGTGCAATATTATGGATGTGCCTAATATTTTATTTTTTATAAATATATAACATTAGATATGTGCCCAAATTTTTCTCTATCTTTTTTTTATTATTTTTGTGATCCTTTGTATTTTCTATTATTAAAAATTTTATTATTTGACTATCACATAATTTAATTTCTAGGTAAATTTTGAATTTGACATTCCATTTTTATCATTAATAAAAACACTTCTGACATTTCATAGTTATTTATTTTAAATTTTCATTATTTAATTATGGTATTATTTATTGATCCATTTGACCCCAAATGGTTGACTTAAATGGATTAAATATCTTTAAGTTACCTATTTTCAACTCATTTAATATCAAGAACCAATTACTTTATTTGCCCTCATTTTTTTATCAATAAATTTAAATATAGAGGGGTAATTTTGTCTTTAGAAAATTGCAGAAATATTCTTGAAACCATTCCATTCATGCTTTTTAAGATAGTATAGATAGATGTCTAAATTTTTTAAGTGCTTACTCAATGTATTCATCATGTGTGCCTACCTGATTGGGACTGTTTAAACATCAATTCCAAAGTACTGAATCAGTGAGTCCCAACCAATTGAGTGGTGGCTCAGTAGACACATGGATTGTGTCAAACGAGATGGGCTTTTGAGTCCTATTATCGACTATCACCACATAAACTGAAGCAAACTCTCTCACCACCTTTGAAAATAGTAATTAATGTTGCTAGAAAAAGTGCTACTCTGTGGCAAATGAGAATTGAATTGTGGAGGGCTAAGTTAAACAAGAAAATGAGGTGGGAGTAGAAGAGGAAGGCTGTGTAGGGAAATAGGGTGGGAAGGTTCGGGGCTATTATAGATTTTTTTAATAAAAAAATAAAGAAAAGCTTTTATTTAATTTTGAGAATCGAAGGAAGTGAGAAACATTATAGAATGATAGTTCAGTTTTTAGGGGGCCAAGGACCTACTTTATTCCATTTTGCCTCTACTTAATAACTATATATAAATATTGATTTAACAAAAAATTGTGTGTGGGGGTTGCTAAGAACCCACCAGTATATTTGGCTCCACCCCTGTATTTAGGGGTGTCAATTGGATTGGATTTGGTTCAATCCAGTCCAGTCCAATGTGAGTCTATTATAAATGGAACTGGTCCAATCCAGTCCAATGAATATTTTGGACCGGTCCAGCGACTGTCCAATCTATTCAAATTCCTATTAATTTAGATTAGTTTCAACTCAAACCTGATATATGCAATTATCTCCCTATCAGTAACAACTACTCTATAAGTGCACTTGCACTTGAATCCTACTTTTGCTGATACTTGCACTCAAGTGTACACCACATGAATCTTACTTTTGCCGATAAGATTTATATTATTCTGTTAACATATTCTACAAAAAGTCTGCAGGTGTCTTGTGTGAATTGACATTTGATGGAATTTAGGCAGATATGAATACATGTGACCACCGTTTAGAAGCTGAAAATTTTACTTCAGTTAGGAAGTTAAGAAAATTAGATCAGTTAAAAAGATTTACTTTCCTGAAGATATCAAAGAAAATCAAAGAAATTTTAGAGAAATAATTAAAAGACGCACTGAAGAGGGATAAGAAGTTGGTCCATATGGTCGGACAATGCTTTGTTGAATTACTGAATTGATTTCAAAAGGAAGCTTTCCTCTCAAAATGAAAGACCAAATAAATAATCAAGTAGAATAGAAGGAACAGTCATCCCCTTGTGCAGATACTCAAAAGAACAGAGGAAATGGATTCAATGGTAAACAAATCATAAAATTTATTTGGAACATTTAGTTCAACTCTTAAAAGATAGTATAGATTCCAAACTTTTAGTTTTGTTCTTTTAAGTCATGGATGCACTAACAGGTATTTTGTTCTATTTTTATTGTTAACATGCATTTTGTTCTCCTTACAGGAATAAACATAATTCATAGTGTAAGCATGCCAAAAGAAATCAAAACCAAGTTACAAAATATGGAGAAACCTACCCATGTAAGTGCTATCTGTGCTGATTCTTTGATAACATCACCAAGTTTCCCAGTGAGATGCAAATCCCCTTTTCCTTCCATAGTTGTGACCTCAACAAACTGAACCTCCCCACCAAAGGAGGTCCAAACAAGCCCAACTGATACTCCAGGAGTTGCAACTCATTCTGCAGTCTCTCATCAATCCTTCGAGGCTGCAGCATAGTACGACCATAATATATGATCAGCTATACCAAAAGTACAGTGAAAAAGCTAAATCTGAAAAATGAATATATGAGGAAACCTGGGTATTCAAGCAGAACTCAGAATCATGGCATATGTGCCCCATTTCAAGAGAGAGAATATTGATTGAACACTTAAGAGCGGCTGAACAAAAACGGAAAGGATGTTCTCCAATGATGAATTGGTCAATCTGGGTTTTGATTTATATAGGCATCGCCGGCTGGTGTTGTCCAGTGGAGAACAGAGAGAAAATTTAGGCGAATTGAATACAGAGAGAAATAGAGAGAGATTTACTTGTGAATCAAATGCTGTCGATGTGCGACTGAGAAAGAAACCGCGCAAGTGAGAGAGAGAGAGAGATTTACCAATGTGCACTAAGAGAGAGAGTGTGCATGAAAGAGAGAAAGAGAGAAACAACAAAGAGTGAGAGAGTCGACTGGGAGAGGCAATGGACGGAGAGGGCGGAAGAAGACGAAACGTGAAGTAGAAGATTTACAGGGAGGAATATCAACATTTCTAGCGGCAGTCACCGAATAGCCAGTTCAAGAATTGCCGCTAGAAATGTTTTTTTTTTTGTATGGGATTGGATGAGAAAGTGTGAAGTTTTCACTTTTCATTGTTTGGTTATGCAAAGGAAAATAGTAAGAAAATTATTTTTCCTACGTTTGTTTCATGGAAAAATCATTAGAGTTGAACTAAATTTCTTGTAGAAACATCAATTTGTAGGAATGATGAAAAACTTGGGTTGGATAAATTTTAACACAACCTGACATGGTCTTTTTAAGTTTTTTAGTAGGTTGGATCTAGCTAGCTGGGATTCAAGCAAGGTGAGCTCTAGTTGGGCTTCAAGCGTGTTATGGTGAAAGCCCAGCTGAGCTCAAGTTGGGCTTCAAACAAGGTGAAATCTCAGCTGATCTTGAGCTAAGCCCCTTGTTATATGCACCTGTCTAAGTTTACAAGTAATTAGCAAACCAAGAAAGGTGGGAAGCCTCTTAACCTAGGAACTAAACTTAGGAAAGGTGTTATATGCACCTGTCCAAATTCAAAGATCTAAGTAATAAGAATTTGATGGATTTTACATGCATTAATCACACAAAACAAAGACCATGATTGGGTATTGTTACTATCAACTTAGAAGTTTGAGGCCCAACATCTTTAAAAGTACATCCCAAAACCTGCTAAGAAAAGAGTACATAATCTTTTTTAAGAGAAAGAGATAAAGCCTAAGCCTGAATGAGAAAATTTGATTCAAGAAATCAATGCATAGTCCACGAGTTTGTTGAAGGTTTCTCAGCTGAACGTTGATCGACGCTAGCTTCTCTAAATTCCGAGAAGTAAAAAGTGCCTATATTGATCTCTCGCTCTGTCTCTCTCTCAGAAAATAAATAAATAAAATAAGAGATCACTAAAGTCAGAAAAATTGGGAATACTAGAAAATAAAATACTCTCTTAGGCTCCGCTTATTGCCTACACAAGGAGAACGGAGCTTTTCCATGCCGAAAGTAATGAAAGGGGGTCGGTCGTTGGAGAGACTGGCGCAACAGTGGCAAAGACATTCTTATACATCAAAATATACAAGAAAATAGAGAAAAAGGCTCGCCAACGCAAGAAGATATTGTCTTTGCTCGAGATCAGCAAAGAAGTCGTCGGAGATATAACCAAGAAGAAGAGACTCGAGTTCAGGCCTCACGAAGCCCGATAACTTTTCTTAAACGCGTCTCACTCTTTTCTCATCTCAAACTATTATATCCCAACAATGAAACGGAGCCTAAAGTTGAATAGAGTAAATCAAACGGAGCCTATTGGGTGCTTATTATTCGTGTTTTGAGACCAATTAAGAGTAGAGTTGCTAATCCGTTCAGAAAGTTAATAGTTTAAATTTAAATTGCGATGCTTATTCGTTTCTCGTAAACTGTTTTATCTGCCATATGTTACTATGACCTTGTTTATTTGTAGTGCAATTTTGTTTTAAAATGGTGCAAAAGAATGGAAGTGCAAAATGAATTTGGAATGCAAATTCTCATTCATTTTTGTTTTAAATTTTGCTTCGTTTTGTTTTGTTTATTTGCAGTGCAGTATAATAAAGTGAAACTTAAAGCAAAAAGTAGGATTCGAATTAAAAATAAGCCAGAAGTTGCACTTCCAATTTGTACTTTCATAAATTAATACAAATGTAATTGCATTGGTCACATTACAATTTGCAAACAAACAGAACATATATGATTTTACTTGTTTATACGAATTAAAAAGTACACCAGAAGTTACACGGCCGATTGGATTCACCAAAGGAAAACATAGTTACTACATTAAATTATATTGCACCATTTTTAAGAGTAGGATAGTAAATAAAGTCTGACCCAAAACCCAAAAGGAGTAATGAGGCATCACACAACAGACGGCTGTGTTTGTTGCGACAAGTAGTAGAGAAAGGAAGAAAAAGGTAGAAAACCCATAAAAACCTACCTTTGTTCCAACAATCATGGCTGCTTATTATGGAATTTACATCTGCACCTCACAGATTGTACCCAAAAACGCTCCACATACACATCTTAGCGTACATTGGGAACATCTCCCATATTTATCATTGGGAGATGCTCCAATACAAGGTTGGGATGTGCTGTAGGGCATTTTTGGGGCGCAGATGTGAATTCCCTATTATGTGATGCCTTGAAACTTTGAAGGAAAGAATTGAGATGGCTCTTTGATTCTGGGTCAGGCTTTGTTTACAATATATCCAACTCTTAAAAATGCTGCAATGTAATTTAGGCTATAGGGGTCTGGAATCAGAGTCGGAATGGGTTATTCCGATTTCAACCGTTTGGTTGGACAGAATCGGAATCCCATTTTCCATTCCTGGTATAATGGTATTCCCCAATTCCATCCTCCTCCCTTGGGCAAGCTTGACCACGAGGTTTGAGACCCTGACCCAACCCACCCAAGTTGCCTCCCAAGAAGGGGGATTGTGACATTCCTCTAATGGACTGATGGTTTTTTTTCTGTCCAACTGTGTGTTACCAGGGCTCTTAAGTGTTACCAGGATTATTAGATAGTATGTCCAGTTTATTTTGACGGATTCTATGTTCTTTCTGATTATCTGGCTCTCTACTTCCGTGGAGTTTCTCTCTCTGAAGTCAATCACTGCTCTTATTAATGCAGTTTTTTGTAGATATTTTCTCTTCTTAGAATGTTCATGTTCATGTTCAACATATAAAGATTTTATTGATATTTTTTATCTTACACGAGTCCAAGTGGAGATGAGTATGGCATGTAGAAACAGGCAGCATCTCTTCACTCTTCAGTGAAGGAATTTAAAATTTCTCATACATGACGTATTAACATTTTCTGAAAAATGTACACAGCATCGCTTCCACACCGAAAGAATTACAAATGGCAAATTCTTTTGAATACTCAACGTGCCTCTGTGAACATCATCTAAAATGGGCCAATACATGGATTAACAATCTTTCTCATCGAATTCCTCTTACTAGTAAAAATGGTCAGTAAATTCACAACTTACATCTCTGAGCTGTTTTGCATTTTCATTGGACTGATTTGATATTTTTTGTGAGCCATCCACACAAAAGGCCGTTATCCATTGTTGGTCCCACCCATATTGGATCTTCTGAACCATCTACATACATGGACAAAATGGTTTTAGGTATATCTCCTCAAAATAGAACCATCTGAAAACTCAGGGCTGCACTGATGTCGTGACAGCTTTATTTTGAGATCTCCATACCCGTCTAGAAGATCCAATTTTCTTGGGCACAGATGCATCTATCTGAACTTCCAAATTTGATACATCAAGAGATAATTTTTCGTGGACAAAAGCATCTAGATCAAAATCACTTGAATCTTGACCAGGCTGTACTTCTCTTAATTGCTTGCCTTCCAAAGAAACAGAGGACAAAACTTCTGATTCCTCAATGGCACTCTTGCTGCTCATTCCGTTTATGTTTCTCAGACCATCCTGCCCCTTAGAATATGACTTGTTTGATTCAAAATTCAGTAGTCGTTTTATGCTGTCAAGAGCTGGATCAATGATATCTAGGAAACCCATAACCCATGAATCATCATCAACAACTTCCGTTCGCTGTGCATGTAATACGGTCAAATTTTAGTTTTACAGAGGACTTTTGACTGACAAAAAAAGTTAATTACAGAAACAACATACTGTAAGAAGGCATTTGATTATCAAAACAAGTAATACTAATTACTAGAAGCATAATTAGAATTGCTAACCTTATCAATTGTAAAAAAGAAAAAAAAAAGGAAGAATATGTGAAAGATGAAATTTTAATTGTTGGCAATGACCAATCTGACTGGATTTTGAGAAGAAAAAGCACCAACTAAACACTGATCAGAATTCATAATTATGAATACTGGTACAATCAACATAAATGCATACTTCTAGTGTAAAATATTTTGACCAGAGTTGAATCTATATGCATATAAAGTAATAAAACATTATACTGCACTATGTAATTAGAATTCTAGGTTACAAAGATTGTATAGCAAGGAACTGGCCAAATGGATATGTTAGATGAACAGTTATTGAATATGATGAGAAACTCTAGTTTTCTACAACTTTGAAACAAACAAATATTAAGTTGAAAGAAAGATAGCAACAACAAACCTTTATTTTATATTTCAATGTTTAGTTAATCACATGCCTTGAGGGAATCATGTTACATCAAAGATACCAAGATAGAGAAAAAGGGAGGGAATAAGACTCTGGACGTTGCTTCTTGACCGCCCAGCATATGCATTTCTGTCACATTCGATTTTTGACATGTTGCTTCTTGACTGCTCAACACTTCACTCAATACAACTGCTTTATAGAATTTTTCTTTTAACCTGAGTGGTACTTGCCTATCACATAAGACTCTGGATGAACTCATCCATTTTCCCTATCATGCTCTAATTCTATAGGCAACATCCTCCTCTATCTCTCTCTCTTGTTATTAATTATCAAACCAAGGTAATGGAAAAGGTTGCATTGAGTTATCTCTTGGTCTCCAATCCTAATTCCTATGTGTACCTGATTTGCATGAATATTAGAACATATTCTGTTTTGGTCCTACTTATTTTAAAACTTAATTTTGCATTTAGTCCTTCATCAGTTTCATCAATTAATACAATGTCATCAGCAAACAAGCACCATGGGACCTCCTCTTGAATATGCTTAACCAATTCATCTATGATTAGTGCAAATGAATAAGGACTAAGTACTGAACCTTTGTGAAGACCCATCAAAATTGTAAAATCTGATGTCTTACCCTCATATGTTCTAATGTTGATGGTTGCACCTTTATTCATATCCATTGATTAGGTCCATATACCTATTTGAAACTCCTTTCTTTTCCAAACTCACTATATTATCTCTCTAGGAACTCTATCATATTTTTTTTTCGCTAGACCAATGAACATCATATGATGATCTCTCTTCTTCTTTCTAATTTTTTCTATCAATCTTCTCAAAAGATAGTTCCCATGGTTGATCTCCTCAGCATAAGCCTAATTTGATTTTCTGATGTACTTGTATCATGTTGTAATCTTTGCTCAATTATTTTCTCCTAAATTTTAATAATGTGGTTCTGAGTTTAACCCCATTGTTGTTATTTCAACTTTGTAATAACACCTTTTGTTTTAAATATAGATGGTTTAGTGTTGTTTCTTCACTTGTCAGGCATCTTCTTTTCATTGTCTTATTAAATAGTTTAGTTGGCCATAACAAGCCTACCTCTCCCACTTAAATTATCAATTGTGCAAGGACCATCGTTTATAAAAGTAGCAATCATATAAGGACCATTGCTTGGTACAATGCTAAAATCTCGGGCCAAAAGGCATGGGAATATAGGTCCATGTCTGAGAGTATCCACTTTGTGAAAAAAAAAAAAAATGCAAAGGTTATAGGTCCATATTCTCCCAAGACTCCAGATAGCCAGAACTTTCATTGGGTAATGGCCCTTTACAAAGTAATTAATCAAGTCCATAGTCATTATTATGCGTATGCACGAAGTTAATATTAGAGAAACAGAGAGGAGACAATTTCACAATATTAAAACGTATTAAAATATAAGGTCAGAGATCAGAAGGAAAAGACATTGACAATAAATATCAGCTACAAACCTGCTGGAAGTAGAGATTACGGATTTCCTCAGCACGTACAGAATTTCCTTGCTCTTCCTCCAATGATGCCCAAGTCATCCAAGTTATATAACTTTGAGAGTTAATATTTAACGATGATCTAAATAATCTCCGAGCTGCTGAAAGATTACCAAGTCTCTGCTCTAAAACACCCCATGCCTGTAAAATATAAGAACACCTAAAATCAGCATAAAATCCATTGTTTGGAAGTAAGCCTAACAGAAGATCCAGTTGCTGAAATACTGCAATTAATTGATACAAACATAAGCCAAAGACACAAACTTAATCCAAGACTTCCTTACTACATAAGCAGCTAAAAAGATTTGGTTTGTTAATCTTTTAGTTTTAAGGGTTGGACAACTAGACTCTTAAAAAGAAGTGCTGGATAATATCTCCACTGCAGCTGCCTAGAGGTTATAAGAATGGATGAAGCAATATTAGTATTGTTATTTCTTTCGGCCTTGGTCTTTGATAATTCCAACAGGCAATAAGATATATAAATTCAGCATATGATACTGGAATAGTTAAAACTTCAAAAGGAAACTAATTTTTAGAAACAGTACTTAAATTTTTAGCATTTAAAGATTCTTTTTTTCTGGTTACAAATGCTTTATTTAACATTAAGAACAATTATCACTTCTTCTGACTTCATTCTCCAAGAATCTTATGTACAAAGAAGTTGTTAGAGCTAGCCGAATAAGGGTAGATTAGTCAACTCACCTTTGTTAAGTTATGTGCTTATGTGGCAGTCTTATTAGAGACTCTCTGTCCCATACTTAAGTGGGGGCAGTTTAGTCTTTGTACAATTAATTAGAGCCTACTATTAAGAGGTCGACTGATAGGGTTTAGTCTATCAGGTTCAACAGTTCTTTCATCTTCTTCTTCTTCTTCTCTTCTTCTT